TATATATATATATATATATAGTGAAATGAAATTGGAAGGAAATGCATGAATATTGGATGGTTTCTAAGAAACGTTTCGAGCAAATGGAAGTGCAATCGGAAGTTTCGAGCTGGACGCGTGTTTCAGTGGCCGCGATATTTCGGTCGGCAATTACTGCGACCGGAAATGGAACGGTGGCCATCGCGCGCTACTTGGGAGGGGAGGAGGGCAAAATCGATGCTCGATAAGGTCTGGTAAATTTGATTTCTCGAGGCCCTCGATTTATTATGAAACTTGTGAATGATAATCGTTCACGGGGAGATAAATTGGACGCTTGGAATTACCCTCTTAAGGATGGTTCCTTCGGTTATTATCGTCGATACGATCGGACGGTTATTATCGAGTATAGATTGCTGGGTATTTATTGTCTCAGATCGATACAGTTACAAAGATAAGAATATTATGCGCATTCTACAGCCGTAATTAATTCTCCTCGAGCGATATCATGCGAGCCGTTACGTGTCACACAGATTCTTGAGCTTTTCTGTATTCGAACACGCTTCCGCGTTCCACGAATCCTCGAGCTTTTCTCCGAATCGATCCCTCTTTCTCAACTCCGGGAGGACCGTAGCCACCGCCTCCGGGAGTTTCCAGTATAAACGTGTCCTGCGTGGAAAAATATTACGATGTAGAAGCGCACTCGATGATTGGCGAAAAATAAAATTGGAAAATCGTGAGAATAACGGAAAAACGAGTTTCCGGGAAGAGAGATTGGGAACAATTCGTATTCCACGTTTCCTTCTTTCGCGGCGCGACCGATCCCTTTCGAAATATAATATCTCGTTCTCGATATCGGGGAAAATTTTGTCGAAACTACGCTCGCTACAGGGAAGAAGAAAGCAGGGGAGTCGAAAGCAGAGAATTGGAAGAAACACTGTGCGATCGCGTGATAAAATCTTTTACGTTTGGGACGACGATAAAATGCGAATAAATTCTGTTTCGCGCTTAAATTGACGCGACAGCGTGTCGATTTTTACAACTAGCCGCGTAAATTTTTATGCAAATATCTATTTATACGGCGAGATGGCGGAAGAACCGTTTTTCTTACCCCTGGATAAACGGGTACCGCGGTTTTGGGGCCGAGATTGATCCTTCTACCGTCGGCTTTTACCAACGTGTTCCTTCCTTTTCGACCCGATCCTCCCCCAGCCAATCCAGGCGGGCTATTTACCCTTCTTTCCGTTAATACGGACAACGTCATAGGCGCCCTGTAGAAGAAAAAACAAAGTATCGAGAAAAAGAAAGCTTCGAAACGTTCAATTGACAAATTTTCAAAATTTCAAAATTTGCCTGAACGTCGTTTCGCGGACAACTCCGTCGCCTCCTCGATGAGCGCCGGCTCCTCCGCTTCCGGTTCGAAGGGAAAACTTATTAAGAATGAGCGGGTAACGAAGTTCCAGTATCTCCGGATCGGTGATTCTCGTGTTGGTCATGTGAGTGTGCACCCCTCCTCTGCCGTCCCAGGTCGGGCCCTTTTGCGAACACAATATCACAGAATGAAAATGTCGCTATTTGAAGAAACGCACAAGTTGAATCTCTTACGGCTCCACTGCCCCCGGCGACAGTTTCGTAATAACCCCACTCTTCGGTGCCAAGCGTCACGTTGTTCATGCACCCTTGTGACGCTGCGCAAGCACCGAAAGCTCGTAGAATCACGTCGACCACGCGTTGCGACGTGAGAACGTTGCCACCGACCACCGCTGCCTCCTCCGAGGGATCCAGAAGCGATCCCTTTGGAATTATTACCTTTACAGGCTTCAGACAACCCTGAGAAATTTAACCATTCGCGTAACAACGAAATTGTCATGCTTTGCATTCGACGAATAATAAAGAAAATGATGGTTACCTGGTTTAAAGGAACGTCTCTGCCCACTATGCATCTCAAACAATAAATCAACGCGGAGAGAGTGATGGCCCTGGGTGCGTTACAATTGCCCCACACTTCGTACCCCGTGCCGCTAAAGTTTCGACAATTTTTTTTTCGAATAAAGAATATAACAGGATTAAAATTACGTCGATATGGGGCAGAGGGAGGGGGAAGGACTTACGAGAAATCGCAGACCGCTTCACCCTTGTCCACGTCGATGTTCAAAAGGAATTGAATAGGACTGCCATCGTCCAGATAATCGATCGCAGTTGCCGTGGTGTTTCCAGTTTGCTCGAGAAGCCTTTTCCCGACAGATTTTAACATATCTCTCACAGCAACTTCGGCGTTGCGTTGAATGTGACCCATGTAAGCTTGCACCACGTCGAGGCCGTATATATCGATCAACTCGTTGACCAACATCGATCCCTACGACGAATACCAATTTCTCAAAAGATGAATGAGAAAAAGATTGGAGAATTGCGTGAACAATTTACTTTGTGATTGGCTGCGATCTGAGCCTTGAGATCGCTCAGATTGTCGGACAGATTCCTGGTTCCGGAACTCCCCGCAATTTTCCCCGGTTCCATCAACGCTTCCGTTAACTCCTTCTCCCTGAATACTCCTCTGTGCACCAACAAGAAACTTTTAAACGTCGCCCCTTCCTGCGCACAAGAGAATAATCCTGTTTTACCAATTATTAAAATTTCCAATCGATTACCTGAAGCAAACAAGTCGAATGCGGAGGCATGGAACCAGGCGTGATTCCTCCAATATCGGCATGGTGTCCCCTACTGGCCACGAAGAACACCGGCTTCTCCACGTCCCTGCTCACACGAAACGACAGTGACAATTGAATCAAATCAAACCAAATCGTAATAATAATAATATTCTAAGAAGAAATATTGGAAGAAGAAATACTTGTAAAAGACAGGGGTGATGACGGTAAGATCTGGAAGATGGGATCCCCCTGCCAGGGGATGATTCGCGAGGATCGCGTCTCCCCTCTCGAATTCACCCTTGAACGCCTTCATCTGGTATTGAACGGTCTCCTGCATGGCGCCCAGGTGCACGGGTATATGGGGGGCATTGGAAACGAGGCCGCCATCAGGTCCGAAAACCGCGCAAGAAAAATCCAGCCGCTCCTTAATATTGGTCGAGATGGCGGTACGCTGAAGGATCCTTCGAGTTGCCAATACATTAAACCGTGATCTATTCGTGTCTATGGATTCTTGTTAGCCGCGATTCTTTACTCCGTCTACCTGCCCATTTGTTCGGCGATGCTCATGAAACGATGAGAGAATATGCTCAATTGAATGGTGTCCAATTCGGTGGTGACCTCGGCTCTCGATCCTTGGCCGATCGTTATCCTCGCGTCGCCGCGAGGCGTGATCGACGCTTCGCAATCAGGCTCGATCAGAAGAGTGCTCAGGCTGTCCATTATGATCGCCGGTCCGTGAATCGCGTGGCCGGGCGACAGGGAGCGCAGCTGGTACACTTTGGTCTCCTGGTAGCCGTTCTCGAAATAGACCATGGTTGTCTAATTTTGTTAGAAAAAAGAATTTCGTTTCGTTTGTTTAACGTTTGATGGAACACGCTCGTGTTCGACATTCACATGCAACATTCTTGCCTTTTCGAATTTCGGCGGCTCGTTGGACGAAGGTAAAATTGGATCTTCCTCGATATCTGTTCTCCCCGTACCCCTTATTCTCACGTCGTTTACTAGGATCTTTCGATTGGGCATGGTGAAACCGAACTCCGTTTGATACCTTGATTTGAATTTAATTAAGAATTCTAGATTTTCTTTTTCTTCTTTTTTCGTATCTCTATCTATTGATGTTACGAGCTTACTTTACCTTTCCAAAAAGGTACTGAGAAAATCTCCGTGTTTCGTGCCCTTGTGTTTGGTATCTTGGCTAGCCGTACACATCAGAGCGCAGTCTGTCCCTTGATAACGCAAATGTAGGAAAGGTTCCGTTTTTATGTGAGATTCGGGGAATCCTTGGGCAGCCAACTTTGCACGAACTTTCTTCTCCAAGGCGTCCAATCGTTCGTCCAAACGTGCGAACGACTCTTCGAGCAGAGGAATAATAAATAACACAATTCAATTTCTAACAATTCAGTACAATATTTGTCAAATTTTGATTTTATTTATATTATTAAATGGTACCCTGTTCGTAAACCTCTGCGCTAGGTTCTTGGGCCTCTTCCACGACGTCAGCCAATGCCATTCCGTAGGCTGACAAAATTCCTGCATATTTGTGGACGAATACAGTTCCCATTCCTAAGGAACGCGCAATGGCGCACGCGTGTTGTCCCCCTGCACCCCCGAAACACGCCAAAACGTGGCGAGATGTATCGTAACCTTTCGCCTAATATATATATATATATATAAATCTTTTAGAAAGCAAATTATTCATAAATTTTTAATCGTAATATTTAATCGATCAATACCTGAGTGAGAGCTCGTATCGGTCGACACATAGTTTCGTTAGCAACTCTGACGAATCCCATCGCCACTTCCTCGATGCTCATCTTCGCGCCGTGCCCCTCTTTCGCTAGAAATTCGTTTATCTATAAATCAGAGGTATTCCCATAAACTATTTATGATTTGTTCTGACGATATCTTAATAAAAAGGAAAAATAAATAAATAAACGAAGAAACTTTGTACTTGATCGGTGAGAATTTGAAAAGCTTCCATCGTTCGAGACTTGTCCAACGGTTCGTTCTCACTCGGGCCAAATATTTTCGGGAAATATTCGGGCAAAAGTCTTCCGAGAGCGAGGTTCGCATCGGTGACAGCCAGGGGGCCGTTCTTCTTGTAACAAGCTGGGCCAGGGTGTGCCCCGGCGCTCTCGGGCCCGACCTCGAAGAGACCCGACCTGAAGAAAAGCATCGATCCACCTCCTGCCGCAACTGTGTTCACGTCCAACTTCAACCCAATTTTTTTTGAAACGTTTCAATCGCGTTCTCTTATATAACGCCCTTTGATTAATTCATATATATCGAGCCAATTAACCCTTTGCTCTCCAACGGTGACTCTCGGTCATCATTTGAATTAACTCCAGCGACGATAATATTTATTTATTTGATTTTTTTAGAATATCGTTTCATAAATAGGTTCCTAAACTCTTTACGTATAATCTTATGAGATATAATCTTATCTTATGGTAATCTTATGAGGAATCTGATCTAGAGTTGCTGGTTCGACCGAGCGAAACAGGCCTGGAGTACGAAGGGTTAAAAGATACCGATTTTACGATTTTGACGATTGATTGAAATTATTGTATCATAAAGATGATATCGTATTGGAAATTGAAATTTACCCAAATGTAAAGTGAGGGAATACCTGTGCAGCTTGGATCGTGACACCTGCGGTTGTGCTCTCGTATACATGCTCGTAGCTACCGCCGAAACGACTGACATCGGTAGAAGTACCGCCCATATCGAATCCAATCACGGGCAAATCGGTCTCTTTGCTGTACGTGGTCATCGCATAACCGACGACTCCGCCCGCTGGGCCGGAAAGAATGGCCCGAGACCCGTTGAATCTACATTGAAAGAGGATTAAACGCGTAATTGTTTTTCATCGGATTGATCTCATCGATCGAATCTGCACTCACGAATTCATTGGAGTCAATCCACCGTCGCTTTGCATGAACAGCACGTTCACACCTCTCAATTTATCTTTGAAACCAGAAGAGAATCCCTAAAAAGATTGAAAGATTTATTTAGAAAATTCTTATTTATCCGCGAATAATATTTTTTAAAAAAAAATACCTCTAAGTATCGTTTAATGTGCGGGGTCAAGTATGCATCGGCGCAGGCTGTGAATCCTCTAGGAACTATTCTCGCCATAGGCATAATTTCGTGCGAAAGCGAAACTTGGGGGAAACCAACGAGTTTCGCCAATTCCCCTATTCGTATTTCGTGTTCGCCGTATCTAAGATGGATAAAGAAACGAACGATGATAAAAGTAACAGTAGTAGATTATAATTGGTGTATGCATGATAACAAACGTGTAACTGTGCGCGAGGACCACGGCTAGACTCTCGATTCCCGATCTTCTCAATTCCTCCAGATCTAATTTCAACTTTTCCTCGTCCAATTCTCGAGTGATAAATAGATCCTCCCCCGTACATCCCTTCACTCTGCGCCATTTCTTGTGATCCAACTGACACTTTCCAACCGATGCGGGTATCACTCTGCACTTAACTTCGACTACCTTTTCGTACAATACTTCTGGAGTGACTACTTGCTAAAGAAACGACAAGGAACAATGTTTCTTAATTTAATTGTGTCACGATAATACGATAATGCATTATATATACCAAGTCGAATATATCGGGGCGTGCTTGATTCCCGATGAAAAGAAGATCTTTGAATCCTTCGTTGATCAACAGCGCCATTTTCGCACCTTTTCTCTCCAAAAGAGCGTTCGTGGCAACTGTCGTGCCCATTCGAATCCACGATATCAACGATCCGTCTATCTCTCCTTCGATTTTCCTCCCAGTCTCCTGCAAATTTCTCACGTTACACCAACGATCGAATCAAGATTATCGCGATAAATATAAATACCTGTTGGAGAATCCTGCGAATACCTTCGCGCGGGGCATCGTCGTAGTTGGCAGGATCCACGGAGAGCAGTTTCATCACTCGAATTTTCCCGCCTGGACACCTAGCGTACACGTCGGTAAACGTGCCGCCGCGATCTATGGCGAACTCGAATTTATCACCACCCATTTTTATTTACGATTTACTCGGTTCACCGCGCCGACAAACACTCGAGGATCGAATCTGCTCGACTCTGGACGGGAATCGAGCTGGATCGAGAAAGGGATCCGAGATTTGTGCGCAATAATACTTGATAAGATTTGACAAGACTTTAACTATGTGTACATAACAATGTAAACAGTCGCGTGCGTGTTCCCCCTCTTCGACGATGATTTTGATGATTGTTGATAAACTATGTCGAGGGCACGGAACGATTATTTCCTCCCTTTCATCTCTTCGACGAAGATGATCAATAAATCAATAATCAAAATTTTCTCTCGACGTTGGTATTGATCGATGACACTTCCTGATCGATTCGACTCAAATAGTTTCGACAAATGTCCTCCAGAGCACACTAGACACGGTGACGAGAATCGACGCAATACGGATTGTCTTGTATTTTTCCATTTCTTTGGTGTGATAACGAACGCGATTACGTAACGCGATCCGACCGCAAATTTTCTCGCATCGAGGTTGATAAAAACGAGGTTCTCATTCGAGGAACAGGTTCGAGGTTAGATCATCACGGTCGGTCACCGCTCTGTATTAAAATAATCATTGTCGCGTCATCCCAATGAGAGATACAGAGAGTGATATTTCTTTTTTTTTTTTTTTTTTAAGAAGAATTAATTGAAAGAACGATTGAAAATTACTTTATCGATCTTTTTTTTTTCCATATAAGAAGATTTTATTCTTTTTGTCGAAATACCGAATTACTGGGTGCGTGAACCGAATCGTGAGGAAGGAATATTATATCTGATACTTGACGGCCGATAACGATGAGGGTCACTGTACTCGAACGGAGACTGCGCACCAACGATTTCTGCTTTTTATTAGAGACAATACTACGGGTGGGCGTACTGTAAGGCATCTCCAGGGGACAAAGTCCAGCTCGAATTGGTTGTTTTTTTTTTTTTCAACAAGGGGACAATTTATTAAACTATGACGCAGAGTTTCATTTTATACACGGTTACTTTACAGAGTCACAGTCGTTTCGCTCCCTACCTTCACCATCTTCTTATAAAATAACTTAAAAGTCTTAAAATCTCTAGTAATTCCATGCGATGGACAAATTGTTCAGAAATGATCCGTCTAGGCGATCAAAAATTAATAATTCACAATTTTTTTTACAAGACGTAAGTTTCTT